AGTCCCAACAATACCATGTTTATTACATGTGTTATTTGAGGCAAAGAATATCCAGCAAAAACTAAATCCCATGTTGCCACTAATCAACAGATTTATGAGCTCGACGCATTACTGGGTGTTGCTCAAGCGTAGAAATGATATTCAAAAATTAATACGACATATGGAGACAGACTGGAGCCTCATGCAAAGAATCGATGAACGTGAAGTGATGCTACAGCATGCCAAATATAGCCGTTTCATCACCATAATCTGTGAGATAATGTTGCAGGGTGGTTGCTTATTGTTCAGCTTCGTGCAATCTATAAGATCTGTAACCATCACCATCGACAATGAAACATTTACAACACATACAATATCGTGTCCAATTTATAGCAAAATCATCGATATAAGATGACCCTATGAATGAAATTGCATTAATCCTGCAAAACATGATAGTAATACTAGTAAGTTTCTGTACTGCCGGTGGTTGCAGTTTGGCTGCTGTTTTCGTGATACATGCTTATGGTCAGTTGAACGTACGTGCTGTACGTGTGGCTACATAAACTAGTTCAAAATCAGGCGAAGGAAAATGATAAAACTAAACAAAAACTAACTGCTATCGTAGAACATCAGCTGAGAATATTAAGGTATTTCACAAGTAGGCATTCGTTAAAAAAATTCATTCCTTTTGTGCCTTATAATACATTTCTAAATAATTATATAAATTAATAACTAATCAATTTAAAAATAAATATTTCCGTTAAAATTTATTTTCTTTTTCTTATAGATTATTAAAACGAAATTTGTTGTCAATTGAAAAATTGACAATGTTCATAAAAAATATAAGTTCAATATACCGATGACTATTTATAAAAAAATTTTCCTGTGTTACATACATTTAAATGTTTCAGTTTTATATCACAAGTAAAAAGCATTACACATAGAGCTGCTTTTGTGCAATTAACAGGATGCACGGTAATCATGTCCTTGCTTGGATATTACACTGTTATGGTACGCTATAGATGAGAAAATGCAAATTTTTTATTTTATACAAATAAATGTCACTTATTTATGGAAAGTCAAATATCGTTACTCTGTTATAAAATGTGTATTAAAAACAACAAATTATATAGTAAAAATAAGCTCATATTTTAAATTTTACAAAGTAAAAAAACATTTTTTTATTCGTGTTAAAGTCGGTTGTTGACAAGGTATTATGTTGAGTTTTTAACATACTCGCGTTAATTTAACATAATATCATTATGTTGTTGAATCATTTTATATTAAATTGATGAACAACAATTATTAGTATTAAAGAAAAACAATTTATAAATAGGTTCTAGATAACATAAATAACATAAAAATAATATAGTTTGAAAATAAAATAAATTCTAAGTTAAATGAATAAAATAAATGTGTTAATTTAAATTACAAATATTAATTTTGTTTAAGAAGTATATTTCTTCAATTTTAAACTATATCAAAGTGTTCTATTTTTTGTGTTAATTTTTTACGTAATATTTGCATTGCTTTCTAACATATTCCATCATGTGTTACATTCACATAAAAATTTGAGTTGATCATTAGCCATGTGAAATACGTTGAATTCAATACAAATTCTTCTGCGTAGGGTTGGGAAACACTTGATACAGGAAAAATAACATCTTCCCTTACAGTGTATTTATCAATGAGTTTCAATATTTTCATATTTTGCTACATCGGGGAGATTGATACAGAACAGGTAAGAAATGTTGAGAATTAAAATATATTAGGACTAAGGAAAATATTGAATTTCGATATTTGTTAATTCGGCCAATATTTAGAGAAAGAAAGTGTGAAATATAATGTTATTACATTAATCGAAAAAAATTTTTAAATATAATTGTTATTTTTAACAATTTTGAGTATTTCTGTTTTTTTCAACATCATGTAATCTAAAAAATTATTAAATCCCTTTTATTACTCATAGAAAATTTTAATCTCATCAACTTATTAGTGCAAATATGTAGGAAAAACGGCATATATGATTGATTGGTATAATCTACATCACAAAACTGCACGTGATCTTGTTTTGATTATTGCCCGGTCAATAACGTAATTAAAATTACTGCAGGAAAGTTAATCCATTTATCTGTTCCAACTTTTGGTGATGTAAATAATGCAAATTTTTCACAGAGATTCGTCTTATTAATAAAATAAAATTAATCAATTTTATTTCCCTTATACTTTATTATAATTGCAAATTAGGATCATCTTATAAGAATTGAATAATTGATTTCAAACTATTCAATTAAATTATCCATTATCTTTCAAACTCATTTGATACATCTAATTATATGTGTGTGATTAAAAATTAATTTTAATATACTTAGGAGGGCAGCTGAATGCGTACCACTCAAAAGTTATTTGTTATTATTTATTTAATACTGATTTGTACGTAAATAAATATTATAAATTGTAGCATGATGTTTTAAATATTTATTATAACATGTTTAACTTTTCATCAATTATAATTATTATATATCTTTTTATAACATATTGCAAAAGATATAATTTAGACAACTGATCATCTAACTAGATAATCTGTATGTTTTTCAAATCATATTTTCTTTGAAAGTATCGAATATAAAATATATGAATAAAAATAATTAAAAATATTAATAAAAAAATCATTAAGTAATACTAATAATTAACTAATAGGTACTTGATTTTAATCATTTTTAAATAAAAAAAATAACTATACAATAATTATTAATAATTATTAATAATTATTAAATAACAATAATAAAAATGCAAAGATATTGAAATAAAAATGATTCGAGTTTATTTTTGCAATCATTATATATATATATATATTCATGTAAATTATTAATTTTATTATTTTCAATTATCAGTTTTACTTTGTATGTGATAATATAATTTAGGAAACGTAATAGATTTTTTTAAAATACTGATTTAATTGTTATAATTACAAATCTGTACATACAATGAATGTAAAATATTTTACATTATAAATACTTTTTTTATTAAACAATATAAAAATTCTATTGCTGTTTTCTAGTCTACGCAGTTGGAAAATTTCTGTTAAATTTAACATATTTCACGTACATCAATGAGCCATCCTTACTTTTGTCTATAAATATGGAATATGATGAAAGCACAAATATTATGTGAAAAATTAACACAAAAATTTAACTCTTAGACAGTATCTAAAAATAAATAGTAAAAGTATATTTTTTTAATAAAATCAACATTTATAATTTATTAAATTAACACAATAATTTTATTTTAAATCTACATTATTTATTTTTAATTATTGACAATTATTTTTTCAATACAAAAAAGTATTAAATATTAATTTAACATACAATACAATAAAATTGGATGATAAAGATTATTATCAACTGCATAAAATTAATCAAAAATTAATCATTTGTACTTGATTTTTTATTAAATGTTATTAATACTGACAAAATAAGATGTAATCTGTTAGTTTTTTGTCTGTATTATCTATTTCTTTTTTTCATATTTTTGTTACTAAATGTTGTTTATATTAAATAATAATATAAAATATTGTTAAAATACGGAGGATTTAGATCGTTACGCATTTAGCAACTATCCCCTAATATTCATAACTGTTTCGTTAATTGAAAAATTAGAAAATTACATTCTTTTAATGTATTAATTATGATCATCTTATAAGAATTGAACTCTTTAATTGGCTTCATTACGTTTGCATTATGCTTAAAACATCCATAAATTCAATCATATCACATGTATGAAAATTTAATATATCTTATAACATATACAGTTTATTAAATGATGATATTGTTCTTGCATTGTGTAGCATGTTGTTGTTTCAGGTAATTAAAACTTCTATGGTATATTTAAATCTTTTAAGAACAATGACTCTATGAAACATGATAAAAACTGTTAAAATATATGTTAAGAAATATGCAAGATATGCACTATATAGCATAAATTAATATATATTTGTATTTAAAAATACTAATTTTATTCATCGAAATTATACATATATTTATCCTTTTTAACAGTATAAAAAAGCACATCTAATATATAATTAAATAACATAGCAAACATTAAAGCGCGTTTATTTCTACGAATTTATTCATATAGTCCTCGTAACATGCGATATTATTCCAAATGTCTGTACTAAACATTTATTGATCAGACACGCAACCATTCGAAGCAGTTGCATTATTATTCGTCAAACTCTTTCGAAGGTTAGCAAAAGCGTTACTTCACAACTTTGGCACAATCAACTGGCCCATTCGTGACAGTGCTTTACGTGACTTTATCTTTAGTGATCATACCGAACCATAGTGTATGGCAGGAAGCGTTGAATTGAAAAACAGGACAACTACAGTTTGCAATCGACCACCTTGTCTTTTCTTAAATTATTGTAACTGAGTATGTATTAGTCATCTAGAAGATGAAAACATATTGGTAAAATTAAACATTTGATATATTATAAAACATTTCGGTATATAATATGTTTCAGTATTATAATACACATGAAAAGTATTATGCGTAAAGTTTGACTTGCTAAATAAAGTTTAAATGGATATTATTGTAAAACATATTACTAAATTTAAAAAATTTGCTAAAATAGAGAACTATTATACCAATATTTACAATCAGGCCTTATTTTAAGGCTTTCTTAAATTTATCTTTAGATGCTAATAAAATTGGTAATTGTAAAACGCCTAAAGATAAATTTAAGGAAGTCTTAAATACAAAACTTCACTATGAATATGAGCATTAATGTCACTTTCACAATTTTACACTGTTCATAACACGCGATATTCTCTCAGACATCGGATAATAAAAACTCTCGATAAACAATTACATCGACTGAATATATGCCCCTCTCAGGGCACTTTCATAATATTAGGTCGTTCACCAAACTCTGATGAAGATTGGCGCAGGCGCTTTTTCATATTCCGTTACGATGTATTGTCCACCCGTGCCAGTATACCGTGTGCTTTCGTGCAGCGATCATGTCAACTTCCAAATGTACAACAGAATACAACAGATCGAAAAAATACAACGATTACAGTTTACAATTTAGTCGATGGTTTCTCAAGCCAATTGGTGCGTGGCCACAAATAAATGCATCGAGTTTAGTGTGCAAAATCGTGATATTACTACACATTTTTATTTGTTCAAGCATGATAGCATCCAATATGGTGCCATGTTTGTTATATGTATTATTTGAAAAAGTCAATATCAAGCTAAAGTTGAGTGCCGTTGGGCCATTGCTTCATAGAGTTATGGGCTCGGTACATTATTGGGTGCTGCTTAAGCGCAGTGGTGATATTCATAAAGTAATACGACACATGGAGACAGATTGGCGTTTGATACAGAGACTTGATAATCGTAAAGTAATGCTACAACAAGCTAAGTTCGGTCGCTTTGTTGCCATAATTTGCGGTATAATCATGTATGGTGGTACAATTCTGTTCAGTATAGCAAAGGCAATGAAAACCATAACCATTAACGTCGGCAATAAAACTTTTACAACACATCCAATGACGTGTCCGACTTATAGTAAGATCATCGACACGAGATTTAGCCCTGTGAATGAAATCGCGTTGGTTCTACAAAACCTTGCAATATTAGTAGTGAGTTCCTCTACTGTCGGTGCTTGCAGTCTGGCTGCCGTTTTCGCAATACATGCTTGTGGTCAATTGAAAGTACTGAATGCGTGGCTACATGAACTTGTTCAAAATCAAAAGATGGGAAATGGTACAGCTGAACGAAAGCTAGCTGCTATCGTCGAACATCATCTGAGAATATTGAGGTATTTCATATGCAGGCACTCGTATAAAAAATATATATTCTCTAAAACTTTTAAGTATTATTAAAATTAATTATTTAAAAATGAATAAATTCAAAATTGAAAGAAATGAATTTCTTTTTTTTTATAGATTATTAAAAGAGTCTGTTGTTAATTGTGTTCATAAAAAGTATCAGTTGAATGTATCGATTATTTATTTATTTATAAAAAAAAATTGTACTGTTTTATATACATTTATACATTTCAGTTTTATATCACAAGTGGAAAGTATTATGCATAAAGCCGCTCTTGTGGAATTAGCCGGGTGCACCATAGTCATGTGTTTGCTTGGATATTACACTATTACGGTATGCTAGAGATGTAAGAAAATGAAAATTTACACAAGTAAATATCATTTAATCACGAAAAGTCAAATATGGTTATTCTATAATTATAAAATATTCTATAATTATAAAATAAATGTATATAAAAAATTATACATTAAAGTCTCTGTAACTTAATTTTTTCATAGTAAAAAACATTTTGTGTATTAAAATCACATATTGAAGCTTTTGTTTCAAGTATCAATTCAACATAATAAAATTCTTTTTGAATATTTTGTATTAAATTGATATTCGACAATTTTTAGTATTAAAGAAATAATTTATATAAGTGAAGAAATAAAAATAATGCAATAAGTAAAAACATAAAAATAATTTTAGTTTTAAAACGTAAATTCTACTTACTTTATTAAGATAAATGACTGAGTGTATCAATTTAACAAATTATAAATTATATTCTCAAGAAATATATTTCTACAATTTGTTTGTAAAGTTTATTAAAGTGTTTCATTTTTGTGTTAATTTTTTACATAATATTTGCATTATATTCTAATATACTTCATGCTACATCCATACAAAAATCTGAGTAAATAAACACGAGAAATATGTTTATGTTTAATTAAATACAAATTTTTCGATTGCGTAGGCTTGGGAAACACTTGATACAACAAAAATAACATCTTCCCTTATTGTATATTTATCGATGGGTTTTAATATATTTATATTTTGCTACATCGGAGGAATTATCACTGAACAGGTATTATGAGAATTCAAAAACACTCAAAACAAGAAAAATATTAGACTAACATTTTTTAATAATTCAGTAAATATATCAAGAAAAGAATATAATATCATATTTTTACATTAATAAAAAGTAATTAAAAATATTATGTCTCATTTTTAATAAATTTAAATATTTGTCTTCTTTGTATCAATATGTGTTAATCCAAATTATCTCATTCTTTCCACATTACTTACATTACACAAATTTAAATCTTATGTCAATTCAATAGTGCAAAAATGTCGGAGAAATGGCATATATGACTGATTGGTACAATCTACATCATAAAACTGCACGTGGTCTCATTCTGATTATTGCCCGATCGAATAACGTAATTAAGATCACAGCAGGAAAGTTATTCCATTTATCCATTGCAACCTTTGGTGATGTAAGTAATGCAAATATACAGTTTCTTCCTTTGGTTATTTAATTATATATTTCCCTTGTACTTTATTAATTTTAAATTATTATCATCTTATAATAATTGCACTTTCAAAATTAAGATATCCATTATCCTTAAAACATCTATATATTCAATTACGTGAATATGTTTGATTTAAGATATTAAATTTTAAAAATCTAGAAATGTGTGTAATTTATTGAATTTGATATACAATATATTTTCTTTGCTTTCTACATAGAGAAAAATGTCTGGTTGAATTAATTGGAATTCTAAAATGGAAAATGAAACGATCCCGAAATCTACTAGATTTCTAATTTTAAAGTCTAACATCTAAGTTTAGTAGACTTAACCAGAATTCTGGATCGTTCATTTTCCACTAGAATTCCAATTAATTTAACCAAATATTTTTCTCCGTGTACAGAAACAAGTATATACTGTTGTTTCAGGTAATTAAAACTTCAATGGTATATTTAAATTTTTTGAGAACAATGACTATGTAAAAGATAATTATGTGAAATATTATATAAGTTAAGAAATATATAAATTATATATTTTATATAGAATATATAAGAGTATATCCTACAAAAAAATATTTAACTATTTCCTCTGAAATTAAAAATCACTGACCTGAGAAACATCAATATAAATAGATTTTCAGAAATCGCTTATTAACATATTACTTCAAGCAAAAATTTCTTGTTAAAACTCTAATTTTGACTCGACTTGTATTCTTATAATATGTGTTAAAATAAAATAATATTTATGTCGCTCATGTTCTTAAGGGGAAACGTAACGATATCATATATCCTATGTTTTATATATAATTATATAAATATAAGCAATTATGAGATTATATGTAAAACAGGAAAATTCCAAAGAAATATAGGTCTTATATAATATATTATATAGGACATTATGCATGCAAAAACAACTTAATAAATATGATTAATAATTACGTAAAAATCAACATTATAAACCACACATTAACATACTTTCAAAGATATAATACTAATGATTTATAATTTTTCTTATGAATGTTATAATAACACAAACAAGATTTCTAAATCATCCTGCATAAAATATCTACAGAATTTGTGTACTAAAACTCCGCGATTCAGCGATCAATAAAGTTTAAACTTTTACAATTTAGAACCTCGTCGGATCAACTATACATGAGTGTCAACCAACTAAAATTTTTGTTTTAGTCCAAAAGATTGACAACCGTAATAAAAAGATTAACCAATAATGTTAATAATTTTATGATTACATTTACAGTTTAATATACTTTTAATGAAGGTTTAACAAATAAAATTTATTATAACACTAGAATGGTACAGGATTACTGGCCATAAAATAATTCAAAAATTAATGCAATATATTTTTCTGATTTCCATACATGTATATATTTAGAACATTTTCTTTATTTCAAAATATTCTAACTTTTATTATCATTTAATTAATTTGTCTTGAAAATTGATATAGGAAAATACATATAATGATAACATATCAAATAGGAAAATCTGCTACGTTCAAGCATTTTTTTATTGTTGCTTTCACGAATATATACCTTACACTCCTCATGACATGCAATATTTTCTCAGACATCTGATAATAAAAACTATAGATGAACAGTTATATCGATTGAATATACGTCCCTCTCAGAGTAACTTTGTAACGTTAGGCCGATCACCAAACTCTTCTGAAGATTGGCGCAGGCGCTTCTTCATATTCTGGCACAATGAGTTGTCTATTCCTGACAGTATGGGCAGTACACCGTGTGCCTTCGTGCAGTGATCATGTCAAATTTCAAACGTGCGCCAGAAAGCGACATATCAAAAAAACATATCGATTATAGTTTACAAATTAATCGATGGTTTCTAAAACTAATCGGTGCGTGGCCACAAATAAATGCGTCAAGTTCAGTGTACAAAATCATGATATTACTACAAATTTTTGTTTGTTCAAGCGTGATAGCAATCACAACAATACCGTGTTTGTTATATGTGTTATTTGAGGCAGACAATATCAAGCAAAAACTGAACGCCGTGGCACCACTGTTTCACAGAGCTATGGGCTCGGTACATTACTGGGTGCTGCTCAAGCGTAGGCATGACATTGACAAGTTAATACGACATATGGAAGCAGATTGGAATCTCATACAAAAGATTGACGAACGTGAAGTGATGCTGCAACATGCCAAGTTCGGTCGCTTCATTGTCATAATCTGTGCGGTGTTCATGCAGGGCGGTTTATTTCTGTTTAGCTTAGGGAGATCGATGAAAACTACAACCATCATCGTTGGCAACGAGACTTTCAAGACGCATCCAACAAGTTGTCCAATTTACAGCAAGATCATTGATACGAGATTCAGCCCTGTGAATGAAATTGCATTAATTCTGCAAAATGTAACAATGTTCGTAGCGAGTTTCTCTACTGTTGGTGCTTGCAGTTTGGCTGCTGTCTTCGCGAAACATGCTTGTGGTCAACTGAATGTGCTGTATGTATGGCTACATGAACTTGTTGAAAATCAGAAGAGACAAGATATAAATAAAAAATTAGCCGCAATCGTAGAACATCATCTAAGAACATTGAGGTATTTTATACACTATTAAAAAATATACAAAGCTTATATCTCAGAATTTTCAAATCTTATAACAATTTAATCGTTAATTAATCATTTGAAATAATTATTTTTTGTTAGAACAAAGATAAATTCATTTTCTTTTTCTAAATCACTAAAAGAGAATCTTGTCATATCTCCATGAAAAGCATCAATTCATTATATACATAACTTATTTACGAAAAATAAAAGTTCTATTACATTTATACGTTTCAGTTTTATATCACGTGTGGAAAGTATTATGCACAAAGCTTCTCTTGCAGAATTAATGGGATGCACGATAATCTTGTGTTTAATGGGATATTACACTATTATGGTAGGCTAATTATCATAAAAATTTAAAAATCTTATAAAATACACTTAAATGTTATTCATTTATGAAACGCAAATATATTGTTATTCTATTACAAGATATGTACTGAAATCATATAAAATATGACAAAAATAAGATTATTTTAACTTTTAGGCTTGGGAAACGTTCGATACTGCCAAAATAACATCTTACGTCGTTATATATTTATCGATGGGTTTTAATATTTTTATATTTTGCTACATCGGAGAGATTATTACAGAACAGGTCGAGAACAGAAAGATATTGAAACCAAGAAATATCACATTTTAATATTTTTTGGTAATTCAGTCAATGACCGCGTACAATACAATATTTTAATGCAAGTGAAAGTTTTTTTTGCTGAAGTAGGACTACTCTCCTAGATAAAAATATAATTCTATCAGCGCAAAGAAAACTATCAAATTGCAAAATAAACAAATGCGGTCTTTGATTCATGCCTTTAATATTTTAATGGATTTATATTTAAAACGTATTAGAGTAAGAATTTATATAATAATGAATAATCACTGAGCATTTACTGAGCTGTTTTGTCTGCTAGACGCAGCCAATAGAAAAGCATATAATAAAATATATTTATAGAAAAAAATAATACAATTAATTAGGGGAAAAGGGGATAAGACAAAGTGGAAAAAATAATCAATTTTTAATATTAGTTATATTACAAGTTAATAACAGTTGACAAGTCGATACTAAATTCATTAAAAGAAGATTCATTAAAATATGAATTTTTCAAAAATCTAATTATTTATTTAACACATATAGTACATTTTACATATGATAATTAAAGCTTTAGTAAATCTGAAAAAAAAATTCTTTTTATGTCATCATAGAAATAAAGAAGGCTCAATAAACCTTAAGATCATCTTACCCCTATTTTCCCCTACCTAACTTTTAATGAAACCAAACATTTCTCTTTAACATCATACTAATTTATACTGTTAAATTCTTTTCATAGAAAATGTAAATCTTCTGTCAATTTGTTAGTGCAAACGTGTTGGGGAAATGGCATATATGACTGACTGGTATAATCTACACCACAAAACTGCACGGGGTTTCATTCTGATTATTGCTCGATCGAATAACGTAATTAAGATCACAGCGGGAAAGTTATTCCATTTATCCATCGCAACTTTTGGTGATGTAAGTAATGCATATATACCATTGCTTCCTTTGATTAATAAAAAATATTTTTTTTTTTATTAATGAAATATACATTTCTTGTAACGCTTTTTAGGCTTTTACAGATATTACTTTCAAAGATACCAGAAAGTTCGTGGATTATCGCCATATTTTTATCCATTGCTAAATAATAGATAAAAACCATAAAAATTGCCAATAATAGATAAAAACACAGCGATAACCTGCAAAACTTTTGGTATCTTTGATACTTTCCTTGTACTTTATTTCAAACTATGATCATTTCATAACAATTGTACTGTCCAATTAAACTATACATTATGTTTAAAACATTCACACATTCTATTATACGTGTGTATTTAAATTTAATGTCAAATTTTAATAAATCTATAAATTTGTAACTTTTGAAATGTAATATATATTATTTTTGCTTTCTGCGGAAACAAGTAGGTATATTGTTATTCCAGGTAATTAAAACTTCCATGGTCTATTTAAATTTTTTGCGAACAATGACTATGTAAAAAGTAGTTACGTGAAATGTAAGTTAAGAAATATATATATTATATATTTTATATAGAACAAATTATTAAAATTACGTAACCTGAAAAAAAGATTAAGCATAAAGTTGAAATTAAAAATCAGTAACCTTAAAGATATTAATACAAAGATTTTAAGGAAACGTTTACAATCATTTTCCTTTCATGACAAAATTCTTATAAAGAATTTCAATTTTGGATATGCTTATATTCTGTTGGTCTATTGATAAAAAGATTACATATTTATGTATATACAAATCTTAAGAATATAATAATATCAGATATATTACACGATTATAAACAATTCTTATAACAGAAAACTACAAATAAATAGGTATCCTATATTCTGTATAAGACACTGTGCAATAAAAATTAATAAATAAATTCTATGATCACGTCAAAATCGACATAATGAGTCATTAATATATAATTTTTAAATATATATAATCAATATCTTATGATTTTTCTCATGCTTATGATAATTTCCATTTGAGGAGTACTACTTTTCTATAAGAAATAGAAAATCGATCAAATAATACAAATAAGAGAAAACATAAAGGCTTAATTTTTTTTCATATACATAGAAATTATATATTTATCTTTTTAACAATAGAAGAAATAAGACTGCTTATAACCGAATAAAGACGAACATGTGAGTATAGTTAAAGTACATCATTTCTACGAATTTATTCTCTTCGTGGCACGCGATATTCTCTTCCCATTGGTACTATAAATTCGCGACAAACAATTATTGATCGGAAATGTAACCCTTTCGAAGCAAGTTATAATATCAGGTTGTTTACCAAACTTTTTCGAGGGCTTGCTTAGGCGCTACTTTACATTCAACTCTGGCAC